GGACATTTTATACACATACATGCATTTTTTCTAATTAGGAGTAGAAGTGTCAGAAAAATACTATCTTCACACATCAAGATGTCTGAAAACAGTTTGGGAAGGAAAGAGTCAGAAAATATATGTTTATCTTCAGACATGCTAGCTATGAGCTGGCTATTAGGCATCTAAGGTGAATTGTCAGATACACAGGGTGGTGTAGGAGTCCAAAATCCTTGGGAGCTGTTTGAAATGAAGATAGGCATTTTGCACCCATCAGCATATGTCTGGTTTTTAAAGCATTTAAGCTGCACAAAGACTCTGAGGAAGATGAGAGACTACATCATGAGGAACCAAACCTTTGGGTCCAGGAGTCTTAATACAAACTAAACATTAAGAAAAAGAGGATGGGGAGAAGAGAAGAGAGCTAGGATAGTGTGTGGCTCTGGGAGCCAAGTGCAGTAAATGAATGAGGATGGTGGATCAAGTGTCTCAAATGCTGGTGATAAGTCTAAGGAGATGAAAACTGTAAACTATTTAATCCTGCATTTGAAAAGTCACAGGTAGGCTGGGGAAGTAGCTCGGGGATAACAGGCTTGCCTAGCATGTGTAAGGCCCCGGGACTGATCCCCAGCACCACAAAAAAATTCATAGATGACTTTGGGCAACAATTGTTTCAAAATCGGTGGTAAGAACAAAAGTTTCATTATAGTGTAAGTACAAAAGATAACAGAGGCCAGGAATTAGATGTAGTGGTACATACAACCACAACAAGGAGTTTCGTAGAATCCGGAGAAAAAATGGGGACAAATGGATATTTGTGAAACTTGTTAAAAATATAAAAAAAAGGGAAGAATAATAGAGGAGGTGAAGTTGGTCAAAGTACATTACAGATGGAAAGATCACAATGAACTCCTTTCCAAAATTAAGATATGGTAATAAAAATGAATTTGGCTTTATTATGCAATACACAAAAACTAACTCTAAATGGATGATCCTGAACTGAAAATGTATAAAATAAACATAGGAGTAAATCTTCATGATATTCAGTTGGGTAAATCGATCTTATATATGACACCCAAAGGACAAGGAACAAAAGTATGACAGCTCAATTGGTCTCTATCACAATTACAAATGTTTATGCTTCAAAGTACATCATGAGTATCATGAAAAGGGAAGCCCAAATACTAGGATATGTCTGCAAATCACTTACCTGATAAGAAAGTTCCAGTCACAATGCATAAATAGTTTTTAAAAATTCACTGATACAAAAGCCCAATTTAAAAGTGGGCAAAGATGTGAAGAAACACTTCTCCAAGAATGATATAAAAAGGGCCAAGAGCTCTTGAAAAGATAGTCAATATATTAGTCTTTAGGAAATTGTAAATTAAGACTACCATGCAGATAAGTAAGGTAAAACAAAAATAATAAAAATGTAGAGAAACTGGAATCCTTATGCATTGTTGGTGGGAAGGTAAGGTGGTGCAGCTGCTTTGGAAGACGGCAGTATACCAAAGAGAAATGAAAACACAGGTGCACAGAGCAAGTTGTACACAAACGTCCATGTCAGCATTGTTCATTATAGCCAAAGAGTAGGAATTGCCCATTATCTATCGAATAATGAATGGAAAAATGTAGCATGTCCATACAATGGAATATTACTCAGTAATAAAAATGAATGCCATACGTATTCACAAGATGGAATAACATTTAAAATATATGAAAATAAGTGAAATGTACCAGCTGCAAAAATATGAATATCTATATGCTATGTCCAGTAAAGGTAGCTCTCCAAAGACATCAATTTCTCTATCTATCTAGACTTTTAGGGGCCTAGTACCAGTGGTGAAATATGGCAGACTTCTAATGGGTGCAGAGCTTCTTTTTTGGTGTGAAACATATGTTAAAATTGATTTTGCTGATGGTGCACAATTCTATGAACATACCAACACATTGGGCTATACACTTTAAATAGCTGAATTGTACCGTTTATGGATTATATTTTAACAGAGCTTTTTAAAATTGAATCCTTTAACAAGATGAAAATAGATACTCTAAGTCTGAACATATCATTTCAAATATAAAAACAAGTAAAGGAAAAATGTCCAGTGGCTCAACCTACCAAGTCTATCAAACTGTGTCCACTTCTCACTACCTCTGTTTCTACCACATCAATCGAAGGCCTCACTATTTCCAGTGAAATATTTCACTATTTCAAAGCCTGCTCACTGGTCTTCCTGCTTCTCTCTCCCTTGTACTGAAGTCTGTTTTTCAGAAAATAGCATGAGTTATCCTTTGAAAATATAAGGAAGAAAAGGTTATTATGCTCTTTAAAACAAAGTAACAACAACAATCTGCCTGTGTCAATACAACCATTTCCTGCTTCACTCAGAATAAAACCAAAGCTCTTGCATTGACATAAACACATCGTGTGGTGTGGAGGGATGTTGAGAGTAAGAATAGCTACTTACTCTGTCCAGCCCACTCCAGGGCCTTTTCACTTGCTGCTCCTTCTGCCTAAAAAGTTGTCCCCTTGAATACACACATGGATCATTTCTAATTTTTGCTCAAATCTGCCGCAGTGAGGTCTTCCCTAACCACCACATACAGAATAGTACTTCTCATGACAATGTGTCCTTCAGTGCTTGGGGTTCCCTTTTGAGACTCATATAATCATCTAAATAAATACATATGTATGAATATAAATTTCTGAATAAATCTATGCTTATATATAAATACATATTATTTTCTGTCTTGTTGAATAGATTCTATGAGACTAAAGAGAAAAGATTTTAATTTCTTGCATTGCTATTTTCTGGGCAGTTAGAAGAGTGCATGTGTCATAGTAAAATCCTTTAAATATTTGTTGAGCTAATAATAAATGAATACGAGAGCCCAACACTGATACCACAAAAAAACTACCAAGTCTTCATTTAAAAAATTTTCCACAAAGAATTATTTGGGGGTGGGGGCAGGGGGGAGAAATGACCCAAGCCTTGTATGTACATATGAATAATAAAATAATAAAAAAAATTATTTGGGGCTGGAGTTGTGGTTCAAGTGGTAGAGAATGTGCTTTGCAAGCTTGAAGTCCTGAATTCAAATCTCAGACTCACTGAAAAAAATTATTTATATGTACCTTGAGAGAGATTATTCTAAAAAGACAGTAAGTGAACAGCAAAATTCACCATCATGATGGAGTATACATCCATGTTTGCTCATGTTACCATTTATGTCAAGTTACCACTATTCAACCTCCAAGAAGTACACTATCAAAATTCTCAATCTCTCTTTCTCTCTCTCTCTCTCTCATACATTTTAGTTAGTACATAATAATTGTACTGGAGGTTTCATTATAATATTTCTCTCTATATTGGTTCATGCTCTCCAGGATTCTCTCTCTTCCTCCTCCCCCATTTAAAAATGACTTTGCCAGATTTCAACTTTCTATACTCATGCATGTGTAGAAAACACATCCTCTGTACTCACCGCTTTTACTTTCTTCATTTATTCCTCTCCCTGACCCCCACTAGTACTCTCCTGACAGCATAACCTGTTTCACATTCCTGTCCTTCGTTGTTTAAGACCAAGGGGTCTTGCCTTGGTATTTTACCTGAAATATATTGTACTTTAATCTTTGGTACTTTTTGTTGAGCCATGCATTGTGGTCATCTAAGCTGCCTCTGGAGACACTAATCTTCCTCCAAATCAATGAATATATTTCTCAGAATGCTAACAACTTCCATTAATGAGAATATTCTATTTCTAATTCAGACATGTTTCTGACTATTCTTCTTCATCTGTGAGATGCCAGTTCTACCACCATGAGCACTGGAGAATTCCTCTGCATTCCTGCAGTGCAGAGAAAAGAGCTCTGCTCTGAGCATCAGCACAGGCTGCATCTGCCAATGCCCAGTGACATTGGGAGGAGTCAGAAACACCACCAGCCTGAAAGCCAGCAGGAATTGTTCCTCATGGCTTATTTTTTATGTTATCTTCTGCCCAAATTTTTGTCTTCAATATGATCCCATTTACTTTCTTTGAAAATATGTATACCTCTCCTTCCCAGATCATTCTTATTCTTTATAATTTTGTGGATTCAGATTCATTCCTTTTGATTTTTATAGTCCTTTACTTAAGAGGAAATTTGAAAGGGTGGGAAGTGAATATATATGAATCAGAAGTCCACATACAGACTGCACATTTGCAAATTGATGGTGCTGCTAAAGCTTCCATGTGAAAGACAGTTTCTACAGACAGATCAAGTGATGAAGAACCAAGGAAAGAACTTGTCTCATGCTCCTGGAATGAAAGAAATATTCTGATTTTGTCAAAAGTTCCCACTGCCCATGGAGGAAGCTGTGAATTTCTCCATCCTCTTATTTTCAGATTCCTCTCTTGGGGATGGAAATGCCCATGAAGACATTTCTGTAGCTTTATTTCCTTTGGCTCTAGGGGTAAAACCTTCCCATGGAGAGTTACACTTTTCACTAGAAAAACAGAGGCACTTCTCACTTTATTGGCCCTGGTTTTAACCTCTATGTTTCACAGCAACAGACAAGAGAAATATCTCTACCATTGCCCATCACCACCATGCCTTTACAAGACCATTCAAAGTCAGCCTGAGGCAGATCTGATTCTCAGGACAGAGGCACTTGAATCTGAAATCAGATGTATTTTTCATAAGTTGGTTTTCTCAGTGAAATGACTGATCGGTGTATTATTTACATGCTACCCACTTCCAATGGACTCTAGGACTAATGCATATAATAGAATGGAGAAAGAGGAACCTGCTGCATGGACCTCTGAATATGTCCTGAAAAATAAAGGGAACCCACTAAGGAACATCATCTGTGGCTCTCAGAACTGTGATTCCTTGACTGACCTCCCAGAGGGCACTGCTGCACACAACAGGGACCTTCTGCATAGTTTCTCCTCCCTGCAGCTGGCTGAGTTCTTTGCTGACAGAGACACGTGACAAGAATCAGAGGTCAAAAGCCCTCAAGACATTTCAGCAGCTTTTGTGTTCACACGTAAGAAAGAGACTTGTCCAGCTCAACTTTCCCCAAGCGCCCTATTTCCAAGCTGTGGATCTCTTCGTCCACTCTCCTGCCTGTTCTCACTGTCTTCCAATTGGAAGCAGTGCATCCTCTGCTCAGCCATGGTCTTGCTGCTCCTCCTCGTGCTGAGGATGTTTTTTCCCATGAGTGAGTATGATTTCCTACAGTCTTTACACCTCAAGATTCTGACTGCAAATGGTTACTTTCTATAGAGAAGTCTGCCTTACCTTCACTAACATAACTGATTTTTCCAGGAGACACTACAGCCCAGCTGGTGACGCAGCCTGATGTCCAGATCACTGTCACTGAAGGAGCCTCTCTGGAGCTCAGATGTAACTATTCCTATTCCTATACTTCAGCACCTTATCTCTACTGGTATGTCCGGTACCCTGGACTGGGCCTCCAGCTTCTCCTTAAGTACCTTTCTGGGGACACCATGGTTCAAGGCATCAAAGGCTTTGAGGCTGAATTTAGGAAGAGTGAATCTTCTTTCCATCTGAGCAAACACTCTGTGCATTGGAGCGACACAGCCTTGTACTTCTGTGCTCTGGGTGCCACAGTGTCTGGGGCTGCAAGGGAAGCTGAGCACAAACCACCTGTGACAGTAGAGTTTCCAGAGACTGAAGGCCTCACCCATTGTCTCTGAATGATCTCTTGCTTTCTGATGGCAAATGGGAGAAGGAGGGATGGGCAGGTACAGAGACTTGTACACAATGCTACAGATCCTTCGGCAATAGTATATGTTCTATGAGCTTTATTTCAGAAGTGTTTACTCATTGTGAAAGCTATATAATACTAAATTCTTAGTGCTGTGAAATGAAGAAAGGAAAAGTACTCTTTTCTGTAATAATCAGGCCTTCAGCACTTGACCTGAAGCTGATTGCATTAAGGAGTTGACAGTATCATCAGGGACTTGTCCTAAGAGACGCTGAACTTAGAGAACAAAAGCCATATTTCCTCAAGTTCTGTGCATGTAAGTTTGCCTCCTTGTTTGCTTGGTCAATACCAGTGGTTTGGTTCATAGTTCAGAGGAAATCCAGGTAGATTTTTTTTCATGTTCTTGAGAGTGAGTCATGGTGCTTTCTTGATTTGAAACATCTGAACTTAGCCCATTGTTGAATAAACACAAGAAGTTTCCACCTCTTTTCAACTTATTAAAAACGTCTCACTCAGTAGTGAGGAAAAGAGCAACTTTGATCTCTAGGTACTTGCTGTGCATTTAATATTTGATCTGGAACGTGTTTTACCATTTTATGTGTCTGAGTCCTACAAAGGCTAAGAGAAGAACATTTAACCAGAGTTCAGTAGTTAGGGATGTGACCACAAGGGGACAGTAGACCTCAGCTGATGCACTGTGTGCAGAGGGTTCATTTCAGTGGATTCTGAAGGAATAGGCTTCAGGCAGAAGCAAAACCTTTTACTTATTGGCTGGGTGGACAGCTCAAATAGCCACTATAATTGTAACACAGAAAAGGGGACAGCATACTAATAGAAGTGACTCTCCTTACTACAGATTTCAAGCCTACAATTGATGCTAATTTGGAAAAACATTGAAGACATTGATCCATGAGTTACTACTCTTCTTGTGGCTGCAGCTGGACTGTGAGTTGAGCACGTGGGGGCAACAAAATATTCCAGTGGATGTTCTTCCTATGTCCAAGGAGAATATCATTTTTCTATGGTTGCTGGAGAAAAAGAATATTCTGGAGAATTTTGACCCGACAACCTTCTCCTTTCTCTTTTTCTGTCTAGAGGTGAGCTGAACAGAGAAGGTAGTGCAGCAACCTTCCATCCTGAGTATGCAGGAAGGAGACTGCTCCAAAATCAATTGCACTTACTCAGACACTGCCTCAGACTCCTTCCCTGGAAGTCCAAGCAGAAACCTGCAAAGGGTCCCTTGCTTGCTTATTATTGACATTTGTTCAAACAGGCTCAGCAATCAAAAACAAAGACTCATGATTTTATTGAACAACAAAGATAAACAGTTCCTCCTGCACATAGAAGGTACCCAGCCTGGAGAATCAGCCGTCTACTTCAGTGCAGCTCGAGTACATGGCTTTGCAGGCACCTACAACCTATCCTCAAACCTGCCTCTGGGATTGCAACCCTATCCATGTCCTTTGCTATAGGTCTTCCAGCACAACATTTGCAAATTGTTTATTTGTAAATGAAAACTATCATGTAGACATTAAAAGCATATAGTATTAAGGTTAGGTTCAATATGACCCAGAAAGACTTAGAACATTTTTTGTGTGATTGTTGCCTAATAGATTATTTACAAAATTTTGTTTTGGTGCATACACCTTAAATATTAAGGTGTATAACATGATGGTTTCATATACATATGCGCACTGCAACACAAAGTCCTGACTCTGGCAGCCAAATCCAGACTTCTCCATGTGGTCACCAAATCTAAAGCTCTGCTTAGTGGATTGTTAAAGGAATTAGTGATATTTTATCTTGAAATCCATGCTTTAAATATGAGTGTACATTTGCTGTTCAAACTCTCCTCATTTAACTAACCCCTTAGTATCAATATCACTGTCCTTTCAATGCATGGGTATTTGGCTCTTTGGAAAAGTGGACTTGTTACTTTTTATTATAAAACATTAATGCTAAATGGAGAAAATACCTAATCAACAATTCTGTACTCAGAAAATCTGTTGCTGATATTATTTCGAAAGATACAAACAAGGATATATACAAGATTAACAAGTTTAGGGGTCTAATATATAATAGAAGGACTATAGTTAAAAATTATACTGAATTAAGAATTTTTAAGATGTTAGCCTTTCTTGTCAAACACAAAAAAATGTCACAATGCAGAAAGGGTATGTATGCTTTACAGCATAACCACTCTATTATCTAGACGATTCCTGATAAAGCTTTGTAAACCTCAAATATGCACAATGCAGTTGAGGGAAATATTCGTTTCCATTTATCTATGTCTTTCTTTCTTGATAAAATTGATTTAAAATAATTACATCTATAACCCATGATTGGTGTATTTATTTGTCTTATTGACTTTGTAGCAACCTTGGTGACTTAAAATAATATAATATTATTTCTGTCATGTTCTGGAGGCCTGAAGCTCAGATTGGTTTCACTGGGATGCACCTCTTCAGAAACAGTAACGGAGGAATCAAAGAATCACATTCTTGCCTCTTCCAGGTCCAATGGCTGCCAGCGTTTTTCAGCTTGTGGCTACATAACTCCAATCTCTGCCTGTACCATCATACAGACATCTCTTCTGTTGTCACATCTCCCTCTTTCAGGCACACAAGTAATGGCATTAAAGCTCAAATAATCTGAGATATTGTTGCAATCATACCCTCTCCAACCTTAAATCCTTGCAAATCTTAGTTAGTTCTTTTATATTTTTATATCTTTCAGAAATTAATATGAATGGAATTGCATGATATGTGACCTGAGAAATCCATGTCTTGGTTAGAGGAAGCCCATGTCATGGGCACATGCATACTCTCCATCTAAGCCACCACCTTCAGGTTTTTTTACACTTAAATGTTTTAAACTTTGATTAATTTTATTAAAGATAATCATTTCAAGTGTTCAACTATCTTTCAAGGTTTTATTTCTATTTGTATAGAAAACATGGAAATTGATAATGGAGTCATTCTATTGAGGGTTACACCAATTTTTATAATTTATGAGAGTCATACTCTGTATATAAGCTTAATTACAACAACTCTATTCTAAATTTTTATCAGTACATATTGTCCCAATATTTCAGGGTAATTGTAGATTAAAATTAATTTTAACCATATTATATGGGATAGGTTTTTGGAGTTTAGAAAGGAATGGTTTTTCTAAGGAATGGCATTGAATGGCATATCCAAGAACTCTTTAGAGCTGCTGTTGTCAGTGTCTTTGTAGAGGATTCATGTGATTATTGCCTCAAGCAAACTCTGTACATGGGCAAGTTAGTAAGGGAAGAAAGCAGAGTAAATAAGAAACATGAGGAAATATCACTAAAAGTAAGTATGTGAAGGAGAGTGTAACAATCATTATATCCAATCATGTAGAGAGGTCTGTTGTGATAGTCTTGTATATACTATCTACCACATGTAAGTACATGTTTGTTTCAAGGATCCTGTGTCAACACCCATCTTCTATAAACTCTCTGCTTATGGAGATTCAACGTAGAAGTTGAGATCTTCAATTTGAGTAACTTTTTAACTCTTGTCATTGAAGAATGAATGATGTCATATTAGTTGGTAAGATGCAACAAATGTTCAGTTCTTTATACTTTTTCTACTAAATTTTTCATAAACAGTATCCAATGAGTTCATTTTTACAGGGCTAAACAATTCTCTGGAATTGTTTTTAGAACACCAAGTCATTCAGGTTTAAGTCACATAAAGGCTGATTAAATGAAAGGACAGGAAAGACACCTTATTGATGTGTTGATGAAAGATTGAATTTCAGGAGCTTATTTATCTGATTATTTTTGTAAAAGAATGGAATATGCATGGTTTGGGAGTTACATGTGGCCACTGGTGATAAGTTTACAACATGGCAACATGTAACTTTCTAAGCAAGAATAATTAAGGACAGTGGGAGCTAAGGTAATAATACATCACATTGGCAATATGGATTCAAGGATGTCTGATACAGGAATTTATTTGTTTTGCTGTTACATTTGTTATTTTTCTCATTGTCAGATAATAAGAACTTGATAAAAAATGTGAATGTTCTAGGTGAGAGTAAAAGCTTGCAAAACTGCCTCAGAAAAATTTTCCCCCTTACGTGTAGATAAAAGACATGGCATATATAAGAAATAGAAAATCCAATTGCATTTGATTACATGACTACAGTGGCTGTGTGACAGGAGAGGACTTTAACCCATGGAGAAAATAAAAGTAATACTGTTATGAGTACACATTCATACAGGTAATGCAATTTCATAAACTTCTTTAAGAGAAATTCAAATGTTTCCACAGGTACAACTTCCTACTAATCCCACCTTTGCAGATTTGGGGGATTTTGCTTGCTCAGGAAGGCATGAGTTGGCCATAGGGTCTGCCATTCTACCAAAATTTTCTCACAAGTGTTCATTTATAATTGCATTCATTATGTCCCAACTATGTGTAATGAAGTTGTCTCTGGAGGTGTTTAGGAAGCATTTAGTGAAGACCATCTGTCTCTGCCAGCAAGCCTTTCTGTCTTTGGAAATACCTTTCTACATTGATGAAACAAGACTACCATGTTTAATGTTTCTTTAAAATTTGCAAACCAAATTATTTTCATCTAAGATGGAATAATAGAGCTTATCCATGGATGTCTGCATGATTTTTATGATGTCTTTGCATAAGAACTTTTGTCAGAAAGGCAGCTTTAACTTGGCCTGATTAACTGCTCAAGTATTTTTTCCTAGTTGCTACAGTGTTGTCTACACTGGAGGATCATGTCCTTATAACAAAAGTTTCTTCCAGTAGTACAAAGACTTGAAATAAATTGTGTATTTGGTGCCCATTTTCTGTAGTGATACAAGAGATACATAAGGTTAAGCAGGGTAAGAAATGTCACTGACTCCTTAATATTTGGACATTGTCAACTACATTAAAACATATTGATGTTCATATTAGTTTTGTAATTTGACATTTCCAAAAGGGACTCACTAGTTCAGCACCTGAATTAGCTTTTCTTCTTCTTGGGCACTGGGTTTTCAGTTGAGACTTGAATGGTTATTGTGTAACCAGCCTGGTAGAATCCCTTTTCAAAATTTGGCATGAAAATGTCAAGGTATCTGCTCTGGATATGAGCACTACTTGAATGACAGC